ACAATAGACATTCTGACAGGTGTGACATGATATCTCATTTTGGTTTTGATTTGTATTTCTCTAATAATTAGTGATGTTGAGCATGTTTTCATGTGCCTATTAGTCATCTGTATGTCTTCTTTGGAAAAAAGTCCATTCCGGTCTTGAACTGATTTTTAATCAGCTTTTAGGGGGTTTTTTTGTATTGAGTTGCATGAGCTGTTTGTATGTTTTGGATATTAACCTCTTATTGGTCATATCTTGCAAATATGTTCTCCTATTCAGTAGATTGTCTTTTTTAAAATTATTTTTCTTTTTTAAAATTAAAAAAATTACTTTTAAAATTTTCAGTTGCACTGAATCTTTGTTGCTACATGTGGGCTTTCTCTAATTGTGGCGACTTCTCTTGTTGTAGAGCACAGGCTCTAGGTGCTTGGACTCAGGAGCTGTGGCACATGGGCTTAGTTGCCCCATGGCATTTGAAATCTTCCCTAATGAAGAATTGAACCCATGTCCACTGAATTGGCAGGTGGATTCTTACCCACTGTACCACCGGGGAAGTCCCAGTAGGTTGTATTTTTGTATTGTTGATGGTTTCAAATAAATCTTAAAGATTCTCACCACCCCCTCCCAAAAAAGGTAATTATGTGAGGTGAAGGATGTGTTAACCAACATCACTTTGGTCATCATTTCACAATACATATGTGTATCATCATCACATTGTACTCCTTCAACTTACACAATATTATATGTCAATTATATCTCAACTGAGCTGTAATAGATAAAAGATTTAAAGAGCAAATTCCAACTCTTCTAAATCACTTTTGTACTTAGTATCTCTTAATAATATTGGTATCTCTTAATAATATTAGTATCTCTTAATATGGTCTTCTGCACCATCAAAAGTGTTGTTGATGCATAATTTCTTAAGAGTAACCTTCTAATGGCTCTATAAGTTTGTTCCTAGCCAGTAAGACCACTCTGCTGAGTCTTTTTTTTTTTTTAATTATTTATTTTGGCTGCACCGGGTCCTAGTTGCAGCACGTGGGATCTAGTTTCCTGTTCAGGAGTTGAACCTGTACCCCATGCACTAGGAGCATGGAGTCCTAGCCACTGGATCACCAGGGAAGTCCCTCTGTTGAGTCTTGATGGGCTTGCTCAGGCAATGACAACTATGGCCAACAGCAATTGTAAGATTTATCCCAGTTTTAAAGATGTGAAAAACGTGAAAAAAAAAATGTCTTGGAATGAGTGAAATGAGATGGAAAGAGCGCCCTCAGTAGTCTGAACTGTTTTCCTCCATACTTGTTTTATATACAGGGGAGAAATCCCTCCCCCCCATTTTTAAAAGCCATTACTTTTCTCTTTTTAATGTTCATAGGAGCAAAATTCATTTTCTTTTTCAAAAGTTTAGCCATTCTGCAAGGTCTGTAGTGTTATCAAGATTTGACTTTATTTGAATCTGTCTATTTTTAAAAAAAAAATTTTTGCAATCCTGTGAGTGCTGGATATTCAAGGCCTCAGTCCTGGTTCTGGCCCTGAGTAACCACAGTCATTCACTTGTCTGGACTCAGTTCCACCATCTGTAAAGGAGGGAAGGGTCACACACCTCTTCCAGCTCGGATTGTCTCCCTTCTGTATGCATACAGCAAGTAAAAAGGTATGGATCAGCTGGGTCCTAGGAGACCTGCTTGAATGTGAAGAGAATACAGTTGACCCTTGTATAGTATATAGCCACTGCTTTCCTGATCTCTGTTATTCATAACCAAACCCAATCCATACTGGTACACAATTATTATGTTAGCCAGTACTACTTTATTCACTCACTGTGACTTATTCCACTCTTAAATCCTTCATGACTAAATGAATCAGGGCATACATTTCTTTATTTTTTAGGTGTCTTAACACTTTGCTAATCACCCTCATTTCACCCTTCACTTCAGTTTTCCTGAAGCCAATTCTCCATTTATAACCCTCTGAGGCTGAACTCAGGTCTGCAAAAAAAATAGTAATGAAAGTTTTTATTTTTAAATCTAAGCACAGTATCACTTCCAGGATTAGTGGTAATGCCTTCCTCTACTGAATACTTGATTAGATATATCTCTTGAGCTTGTGAAAAGAAACTGGAATTGTTGGCAAATGAAAAAACTTAAGGGAGAACTTAAAAATCAGAAATGTAGAACAAATTTCAAGAGTAGAGAAGATTCAGGAGAAATTAATGGGTGCTTTGTACTGCTTGTCATACAGCTCTGAGGGGAAAAAAGACTTTTCCTTTTTCTGGAAAATGAAGTACAACTTGTCAGTGACAACCATCTATTAAGAAATTTCCTTTTGTGATAGAGTGAGGATTTTTTTCCCCAGAGGTAAATTATTCAACACAGTTAATTTGAATCCATGTTTGAGCCTGCGATGAAGTTATCAATTTTATTACCATTTCCCTCAGTCTGTCCTGATACTATCATTGCCTGAGACTCCGGTACCCATAGCAACAGCCACTATTTCAGATATCACTTCCCCAAGCAGCAGAGCACGGCCTGTGACTGACAAGCATCCAGCTGTGCATCTCAGGGTGGTAGTTTCCAAGGCTGGAAGACCAAATCAGGGCAGAGTCCCATGTCCTGAAAATCAGGTTATCAAGGAACTGGGAAGCCTGCAAGTAGGCAGGAGGGTGACACACCCACCAGAAGTTTGCTCACACCTTTTGAGAGATATGCATTGGAAGAGGCTGGGTAAATAAGGAGACTTAGAGCAATGGACACAGTCAAGACATCGTGAAGTACATACAGTGTCGCAGACTTCATTTGTCTGAATGCTCCTCACTTCTTTCCATCCCTACCCCACATAATCACAGGGCTGTTTGTGGACCCCAAAACTGAACTAGGAAAAGGGGGATTTAGAACATTTACATTCATCTTGCAGAAGAACACAGAGGGAAAACGATTAAGCTGCTGCTGTCTTTAAATGTTCCCTGCCAAGTAGTGGCTTGTAATAGGCAGTGGAGTGTAACAATCCCAAGTCTCGTTGAGTCTGGCCAGTGAGGAAATCCTCCTTTTCCAGGTAAAATAATAGGATATAGGTCAGAGTAGACTTCTCTGCATCATCCCAGGGAGCCCCTCTGAATCATGGAAAAGGGAAAGATGGGATAACAAGGGGTGCCCAGGGCCCAAGACTAGGGTCAGCTTTAGAATCCCAGTGAAGAGGCCATGACAGCCAGTGGTTCGGTAGATAAATTACAGTATCCCATGCAGAGCAAAAACACAGAGTTTCTCTGTCCAGAGGAGCTGAATTTGCAGATAGAACATGTGTGTTTTGCCACCACCTCCCCATAGACAGCTTTCATGCCCGAAGGGAAACCACTCAGGAAGAGATACAGTCTCTGGGCATTTCCACTCCCAAGGTCTTTCCAGGTGTTCAGAGCCAACTCAGGTAGTAGTGCTTCTGCCTGTGGGGAGCAGCGAGAGAGCCTGAACTGAGGGATTCGGGTGTGTGGTTGTTGACTGCCTTCCAGTGAGGTGCCCTGCTACCTCTGACACATTTGGTGGCTGCTTTTGAATACATGTTCCCTCTGAGAAGGATTTTGGCTGACATGTGGCAGCCATCCCCATCCTAGGCTGGAAGGCACCCCTGTAATTAGAGTTGAGACTGCAGTGATCAGGGCTGTCTTCACGAGGGCATTTCCCTCCCTTCCCGGCCTTCTTATCTGGCTGGATTCCCAGTCTGCTCACCCATTATTCTTAACCCATTGATATACCTGTGAGGTAACAACAACAAAAAAAAGCATGGCATTAGAAGATCTATGTTCATGTCCACATTCCATAACTTTCTTATCCGTGTGGCCTCCCTTTTTCTCACTGATAATGCATATCCTTCATCTTTCTTTTCTTTAAATGTATTTATTTGGCTGTGCTAGGTCTTAGTTGTGACACACAGGATCTTCCATCTTCATTTTGACACTTGGGATCTTTAGTTGTGACCTGTGGGATCTAGTTCCCTGACCAGGGATTGAACCCTGAATTGGGAGCATGGAGTCTTAGCCACTGGACCACCAGGGACATCCCTGGCCTTCTTATTTCTTAAGATTCTTATAAAAATATAAATATAAGAATATAAAATATATATATTAAAAATATAAAAATATAAGAATGTACATAAGAGGACTTGGACCTGCAGAGTGCCATTATTATTATTTTTGTTGATCAGCCCCTTGACTATAGGGAAGATAGCTGGAGGCTTATTACTCATTATCACTGTCACTCAGGGTGGGCTTGTTAATGACAGTCTCTGCCATGCTGCCTTCCAAGACCCCAGCTTGCTACTAAGAATCAACAAACATTAAGATGTGTGCATCTTACTGAACTGAAATACATCACATAATGCTGAAGTTTTTTTTTTTTTTTTTTTGGCCACACCGCTTGTGGGAATTCCCTGACCAGAGATGGAACCCATACCACCTGCCTCAAATTCCAATCCCCTTTCTTTTAATCTCTGCCAATTCCCTTCACTTCTTCCCCAGAGGCAACTACTGTGATGAGTTCTGAACCATATTCTATCTTTACCATACATAAGCACCTACAAACACCACCCACCAACCCTAGAGCCCAAGACCACCCACCTTACCTCACCCTCCCCACATATACATTGTTTATAAGGGGAAGACTGATTTTGTATTTTCCAAGGGCCCATGTAAGACCTCCCTCCCTCTGTAGAGATCCTGAACTGCACATGGATGGGGCGTGGTTGGGTGGAGAGTCTCCTGGATACCTGTTTAAAACTTAAAAAAATTAGAGATCTGCATACATGAATAAAAGAGAGACCTTTATTGTTGCATCATCTAGTAACTTTATTTGAGGAAGTAAAAATTTTATTAGAAGGACTGGCAAAACTGGAAGAAAAAACGTGGGCAATACTGCCATCTGTGTGGCAGGCAGGGTGACCTTGGGCAGTCACCCATGACTCAGGGGAAAGTCCAGTCCAGAATCAGTCCTCCTTGTCGCCATTGCCCAGGGTAAGCTTGTCAAAGCTTACTCCACCAGACCGCCTTCCCAGGACCTCATCTTGCGCATGCTGGTGAGATGGTCTCCTAGCTCTTCGATGAACTCGAGCTGCTGGTCCAGGTGGCACATCTCTAGGAAGTGGCACAGATGGGCGTTGCTGCCGTCGGTGGCCAGGTGGTGCAGGTCGAGCAGGCTCTGGCTGACGCTCTTCTCCAGGTGCAGGGTGTCCTGCATGGCTTGGAGGCTGCTCTCCCTCTCTTGGGTCTCGGGCATCCTGACGTCGAGGAAGGAGACGCGGCTGCCATTCCGGTTCAGCAGGAACATCAGGCTCTTGGCCCTCTTGCTGTGCTCGAGGGAGAGGAGCAGGAGAAAGTGGGCGACGAGCTTCAAGGCCACGTCGTGGTGGTGGTGAAGGGCGCAGGCCCCGGCCAGGCACTGGAAAGACTTGTGGAGCTCCAGAGCGGCGGGGCTGTTGACCACGGCCTCTGCGGGCATCACGGCGGGCGCCATCACCATCATCCGGCAGGTCTCTCGGATAGGAAAACAGCGGGCCAGGCAGCAGGAGGATGGGAAGCAGCGGAGGCGGAGATACCATCCGCCTCCTCGGAGCCTTCCAACGGTAAGCCATGATGGCTCACACAAGAGTACTCGCAGCTGGATGGCAAGCGGCTGGCCGGCAAGCGGCTGGCCAACGGCTTGGATGGACCGGAAGTGGCCGTTGTTATGGGGGAACTGGTTGTGGGGAAGATCCGTTACAGGAAGTAGATGATGGAACGTGGAGGTGGAGGGGGTGGGGCACCACGCTCTAGGTTCCATAGGAGCCTGGGTGAGGCAGAAAACACAGGGCAAGTGTGCCTCTGTCTTGAGACCATTAAAAAATAATAATAATAACCCTATTGAGATATAATTAATATACTCTAAATTTGATCTTTAGAAAGTGAACATTTACTGTTTTTTGGTGTGTGTGTGTATTCATGAAGTTGTGCAACCATTACCACATCTCAGAATAGTTTCATCACTCCAAAATGAAATTCCCTACCCACTAGCAATCACTCCCCATCTCACCTCCCCCCACATCTGGCCACCAATAAACTTTCTATCTCTATAGGTTTGCTACTTCTGGACTTTTCAAAGAAATACAGTCGTACAGTATGTGGCCTTCTGTATCTGCCTTCTTTTACTTAGCATAATGTTTTAAATCTTTTAGCCTTTTTATTGCTAAATAGTATTCCATCATATGAATATACCACATTTTATTTATTCTTTCATCAGTTGATGGGCATTTGAGTTGTTTCCATTTTGTGGCTATTACAAATAGTGTTGCTATGAACCTTCATGTACAGGTTTTTGTGTAGATTTATGTTTTTGACTTGGAAATATATATAGGAGTGGAATTGCTAGCTTATATGGTAGCTCTATGTTTAATATTTTGAGGAAGTCCCTTCCAAAGTGGTTACACCATTCTTATATTCCTACCAGCAGTATGTTAAGTTTCTAATGCTGTTATTGTCTGCTTCAAAGTTTTAAGCATCTTAGTGGATATTCAGTGGTATCACATTGTGGTTTTGATTTGTATTTCCCTAATGACTAACAATGTTTAGCACCTTTGTATATATTTATTGAACTTGTGCATATGTTCTTTGGAGAAATGTCTATTCAGATCCCTTGCCCATTCAAAATTAGAGTTGTTTGTCATTTTATGGTTGAATTGTAAGAGTTCTGCATATATTCTGGATATAAGTTCCTTATCAGATATATAATTCACAAATATTTTCTCCATTCATTGGGTTGTCTTTTCATTTTCTTTTGGTGTCATATCAAGAAACCACTGCCTAATTCAAGGTCACAAAGATTTACACCTAGGTTTTCTTCTAAAAATTTTATAGTTTTAGCTCTTAGATTCAGGTACATTTAGATCTCTGATCCATTTTGAATTAATTTTTGTATATGATGTGAGATAAGGAATCTAGCTTCATTCTATTGTATGTGAGTCTTCATTTATCCCAGCATCATTTGTTGAGAAGACTATTCTTTCCCTGTTGGATGGTCTTTGCATACTTGTTGAAAATTAATTGGCCAGAAATATATGGGTTTATTTCTGGGCTCCTAGTTCTATTATGTAATGGTACAACACTGTTTTGATCACTGTAGTTTTGTAATAAGTTTTGAAATAGGAATGTATGAGTCATCCAACTTCATTCATTTTTTTCAAGATTGTTTTGGCTGTTCTGGATGCCTTGTACTTCCATATGGATTTTAGGATAAGCTTGCCAATTTTTTCTCCAAAAACCCAGCTGAGATATTGATAGGAATGGCATTGAATCTGTAGGTATGAGGGGGGGTATTGATATCCTAACAATATTAAGTCTTCTGATCCATAAATATGGGTTATCTTTCCATTTATTTAGGCCTAGGACGTTTAAAAATAATAATTATGGTTTAGCCGAGGGCCAAAATTTGAATTTATATACCAACTTCCAGGTAATACCAGACCACACCCTTAATAACAATGTCTAAAAGGAACGAAGTAGCCATGCTTTGTTGTCTTAGTCCCTTCAGGATGCTGTAACAAAGTACCAGAGACCGGGTGGCTTATAAACAACAGAAATTCATTTCTCCCGGTTCTGGAGGCTGGAAGTCCCAGGTTAGAATGGCAGCCTGGTTGAGTTCTGGTGAGAGAACTCTCTTCTGCATTGCAGATGGCTGTCTTCTTGCTGTGGCCTCAGATGGCTGAAGGGTCGAGAGAGCTCTCCAGAGTCTGTTTTATAAGGGCACTAGTTTCGTTTATGACAGCCCTACTCTTGTGATGTATGCACCTCCCAGAGGCCCCACCTTCTAATACCATCACCCTGGGGGTTAGGGTTTCAACATACTGATTTTTGGGTAGGAGACACAAACATCCAGCACTTACTGAGGTTTGGATTAAAGACACAAACACTGGTCTCCACAAACAGAAATGTCTGTTCCCACCTCACAGACAGTGCTTCCGATAGTTATGTTAGATGTGGATTCCTATTGGAAAGGGGAGAGGGCTTCCTCCTATGAGGAAAAATTGTGAGACTTTAAAATTGGCAAAGAAAAGCTTTACTTGGTGCCTTTTTTAGAGTACCCTTTGTGGTTATCTCCACCTTTCATTGATTTGGAGCTATTTTATAACTCTAAATTGTAAAAAAACTAATAATGCAAATTATTCTTGTCCACAGAAATGCAAATGAATTGTGTGTGGTGGAGTGCAACTTATTTTGGACTAATTTCGCATCTATTTGCATTCATCTCAATGTTGCCTCTTGCCTGCCTATATATGTATGGCTCTATGAGTTTTCCTTTGAATGATTTGTGACATCTTACTGGTTTCCTCATTAATTAATGAGCTAAATAAAACCTTTGACATCTTTTTGTTTTATATTTAAATGAGAGCCATGATTTTATTTTTAAGAAATATTTGAACATTTCTCATTCTCATCCCTAAGTACACAGTCGAAGCTCCCAGGAGTTGGCTTAGTGCATTAAGCACTTCTGTGGGCTGCTCACCAGGTAGATGATTCCAGAAAAGTTTGGGGATCCAAAGGCATAGAATTCCTGACTGTGATGTAGCACCTCTGAGGAGGAGGAGGGGGGAGGGGACTCTGGGGAAGCAGGGGATCAGTGCCAATCACGGGAGGAAAGAGGCATTTAGAGAGTAAGACACAGAAAGGACCTCATAGGCAGGGCATGTACAGTGAGGCTGGCTCAGTGCATGCTGAAATAGCTTTGACCAGTAAAGACCCGTTAAGAACCAAGGCACTGGTGAGAGCTTCCAGGCATGGAAAGCAGCAGTCGGCAGAGATCTGAGGAGTGGATGGTTGACTGACTCAGATAGGAATCTGACAGACTGAGATGCACAGTGTGGGTAAAATGAACCCTGGAATGAGGTAGACACATGAGCCTTTGCAGCCAGGAGAAAAACTCCTGTCACTTTTGTACAGACCTGCTCATTTTCAGACCCTGGAAAGGGCTGTTGAGACTCCCAGATACTGAGAGTGTATAGTATTTGGGACTGGGCCAGGGGCTCCACCTTCCAGCGAAGGCTCTTCCAGCTGGTGATCAGAGATAGGGAAGTTCTAATGCATTCTGCTTGGCTCCGCCAAAGGGCATCCTTTTAGCACAAAGACCACGAGCAAGTTGTGTGGTGGCTCCTGTTTAGTTGGGTGCTAATGAGACATGTCCGACACCCACATCCATTATAGTCTGAAGAAGAGAAAGCTCCTTCCGGTCTCTCCTTCTGCACTGTCCTGACTTGGGGGAGAAAAGGGAGAATCGCAATCTTGGACAGAGGAACGTCCTCTAAATTTAAGCATGCCCATTGTATATACTGGTATGTGTAAGTTGACAACTGATACTAGTTCACCTAGATACGAACTTTCTCTAAGGTTATGACCTTTCAGTTTTAGTCAGTGTGCTTGCTGAAAATTCTCCATTTGCCTCTCCAGGACTGTCTTCTGTCCTTGTCCATCTTACTCTGAGCCCTGAGATGGTGACTTGTATGGACCGCATCCACAGACCCTTCTGCCCTCTGGCTTCATTAGGTTCAGCCAGTAGGGGGCACTGGCAGGAGATGGGAGGGCAAGAGGAGAGTGAGCTTGGGCTCTTTATTCTCTTGGCTTCGTCTCTCCAGGGCAAATAATTAAGGGGGCAAATCTCATTCTCTTTTATACCCCTTGCTCCCTGAATCAAGTTGGACCATTCTCAGAATGGGCCTTCTGCGAACACTGCTCATTTCAGAGAAATTTATTCCCCCAAACAAGTGTGCTTTGTCTCAAGTCTTGATGCACAACCTAAGAAATTCATGAGGACCCAGGAACCAGTATACAACTGGCTGTTCTTTCAAGCCAGAGAATAAGTGGAGCTGATAGAAAAACTAAAGTGCCTCCTCAAAGACAGTCTCAGGCAGTAAAATAATGGCCCATATGGAGTTGCCACCTAAGACTCTGGGTCCAGTTTTCTAGTTTGTGGATTTCTCTGGCCTCTGGTGCCTTTCTTTTCTATCACCCTTTGTTTCTCGCTCATATAATTAGATGGGGACCAGGGAAGAGGAGGCAGGAGAGCCATCTTCTACTTGTTAGTCACCACGTTAAAAAATCTGATTGGGAAAGATGTTGACTTAATAAGGTTTGAGATTTTTCTGTTTATTTCAAATAACCTTTGCCTTTCCTTGCTCACCTTCTGCTGCCAGTGATTAGAGATACTGCAGAAAGTTCTGCACAGCAGTGCATGAGTGAGTCCAGTCCATGTTCCCGAGGGGGTGTAGATGCTGACTGTTGATTTATGCATGTGTGCTCAGTTGTGTCCAACTCTTTGCAACCCCATGGACTGTAGCCCTCCAGGCTCCTCCGTCTATGGGATACTCCAGGCAAGAATACTGGAGTGGGTTGCCATTTCCTCCTCAAGACTGTTTAATTAGATACATCTAATCCTTTGCTCCTAGGCAGAAAGGAATACCTTTGTGCTGCAGATAACTAACAGTAGATTTTAAAAGTTTTCTTTGCTTGTCTTTCCTAATAGAGAGGGTGAATCATTTTTATTATGTGGTATTCCATCCCTTAATAGAGAACACTGGATATAATATAATAGGGTAAGCTATGCTGCAGTAACAAAGAAAATCTAAATTTCTGAATGGCTGAAGACAGTATTTCTTGGTCACATCACAGTCTGAGACAGGTGAAGTGACTCTGTTTCATGACTCTCCAACAGTAGGTAGCTTACAGATGCAGCCTAAATTCCATCCTGCAGTTCTATCATCTCAGAATTCTTTACCTCCAGGAGGGAAACAGAATGGG